AATTTGGAGGAAAGAATGCATTTTGAATAGTAGATTAATGGAGAATGTATGTTTAAAAATTATAGAAAAGTTTTGGGTTTGCATGTAATATTATTTTATTGAAGAATGTGTGGTTGAAAATGAGTTTTGAAAAAATGAATTTTTAGAATGGGGCTCAAACAAGGGCTTAATTGTGGATTAGGTATTATTATTATTTATTTATTTATTTATTTTTTTAATGGTTCTGCAATGCAAAAAGAATAGCTGGGGAAATAAATATGAGATTGCTGTATGTACAACTTTAAGAAAAGGAAGCGAATAACATTTGTGATTAAATCAAAAGGTAAGAAAGAATTCATTTTAAGATTCAAAAAAAAAGAGAGAGAAAAGAAGAAGAGAAAATAAGGCTAAATTGAAATTTGACAAGTTCCAAGAATATCTCTATCAATATTAAAATTCATGTCACATCACGCAACTCGTTGCTAATCATACAGAAATCCTATATAGTGAATTTACACAGCTTCCTTGATCAGAAACTTCTCATGCATTTTTTATGAATTTGAACTGCGGATTCCAAGTTCTCATCCCAATTTCTTCTGTAATCTGCTGTATAATTTGCTTTTCATTTCTAAGCTGTTACAATCCTAACATGTTACTAAACACAACCTCTGAAATTTATACAATGTGGTCCGACAGGTCTGCCAGCGGAGACATTAGTTGAGAGGTTCGTAACAGTTGGTGCATACAGTCTCTTGCGATCCTGCACAATTGAGCCGGAATGCATTATTGGTCAGCACTCTATCCTTATGGAGGGTTCTTTGGTGGAAACACATTCTATACTTGAAGCCGGATCTGTGGTTCCTCCAGGAAGGAGAATACCAAGTGGCGAGCTTTGGGCAGGGAATCCAGCAAGGTTCGTTAGGACTTTGACACATGAGGAAACACTGGAGCTTCCTAAACTGGCCGTTGCAATAAATGATCTGAGCAAAAGTTACTTCTCTGAGTTCTTGCCTTATTCAACCGTGTATTTGGAAGTTGAGAAGATGAAGAAGTCGTTGGGAATTTCTATCTGATGGAATTCATTACTCTCATCACAAATGTACGTCGGCTTGAGACTTCTTTTTTCTTTTCATGGAAATCAATAAGCAAGTGTAAGACCAATGTAAGCCTTAGACACCGTATTCTGTCCATGATTTTATTGCTTGTGCAAGTAAATGGGATATGAAATGTTTTACTTGTCAAGATTTTTTTATTTTTTTTTCTTTCTCGTGGGTTTTTTGGCCTTGCTCAGACTTGCTACAAAAGTGTTTTGGAATTGTTGCAGTCGAAGGATTTGCACTATAAGGGAGTGGCAAACATGGTACACAATATTGGATATGATTAGTTTCGAACGTCCTAATATTATCAGTACTGTCCTATACAATTTACCAGACTAGCTGTAAAGGTTTTTTGATAAATTGTAGGCCAACTGCTAGTGTCCCATGAGCTGGAGTCGGAGCATAAAATAGCTGTAGAGGCACACCATTATTGTTGCACTTCTGGAACAATTTGTTGGCCTACCAAACACACTTCAAAAATCAGAAATCCAAGTTTCTAATATTATCTGCTCTATCCACAACCACATTCAAATATTCTTCTAAGGCCAGGTTGTACTGATTCGAAGCTGGAAAACATTTTGGTTCTAGCTTTTCGAACATGGTCTTACTCGAACCCATTGCAACTTTTATTTTCTTTTAGTATTATGGTTTTGAATTTAAATCATATTCACAAGAATAAAAGGTAAATAAAGAAATAACTAAAAAGGGTCTAAATAGAAATATTTTAATTTCTGATCCTGTCCCGCCTCCTCAAGTGGTGGGGAGTGGTTTTCGTCCTGTTGTCATTTCTAGGTTGATGGCCAATTATTAAT